GCGGAGAAACTCCGCCTTTGTTCATAACCACTCCCCTAGCCCCAGCTGGCCCACTTTGGCCCAAGGTTTTCGTCTGGCCAAAAAACCCGGGCCGTTGGCCCTGAGGAAGCACCGACGAGGCACGATCAAGCCCCGGAAGTAACAGTGGAAACGCAACTGGCCCTGGCACGCACTAGCACGCCCGCTTTTGGCCCGACAGTGGAAACGCGGCTAATGCTGTCTACGGAGGGTCAGAGAGCTCTCAGATTTTATCAAAAGTATCTTAATTTGTGTTCCGAAGACGAACGAAGGTCTTACGGGTTTGGAACGACACGAGGGTGAGTAATTAATGACAGAATTTTCATTTTTGGGTGAACTAGCCCTTTAAGAGTGTCAAATTTTTCCAAAATGTTTGTTCTTCCATTGGTTGGTCTCACGCTATATGGAAGCCCATTTCCGCCACTGAATAAAAAAATAAAAAAAAGGTTATTGCAACTTTTTATCTCACAATTCTGACTTTTTTTTTCTCAGAATTGAATGATACAAACTCTCAATTCTGACTTTTTCTCAGAATTGTGAGATATAAACTCGCAATAAAAAGTCCGAATTGCGAGATATAAAGTCACAATTGCAAGATAAAAACTCGCAATTCTGACTTTTTTTTTCTCTGAATTGTGAGATATAAACTCGCAATTGCGTGTTATAAAGTCAGAATTGCGAGATATAAACTCTCAATTCTGAGAAAAAAAGTCAGAATTGTGAGTTTATATCTCGCAGTTCTGACTTTATTTCTCAGAATTGCGACTTTGTCTCGCAATTGCGAGTTTATATCACGCAATTCTGACTTTATTTCTCAGAATTGCAAGTTTATATCTCACAATACGACTTTTTGACTCGCAATTGCGAGTTTATATCTCACAATTTTGAGAAAAAGTCAGAATTGCGAGTTTGCATCACGCAATTCTGAGAAAAAAAGTCTGAATTGTGAGATAAAAAGTCACAATTACCTTTTTTATTTTTTATTCAGTGGCAGAAACGGGCTTCCATACGCGCTATGTGAGTGGCTGAATAGTTGATATTTCAGACTGCTCTAACCAACAAAATGATAAAAGCACCACATTGTTTCTTTCTTAAAGATGTCGCATTTGCAATTTCGCACATGGCTCATGTCTCTATCTTCCACAGGTTTGATAGACTACAACTTCCACTGCTTTCGAAAGGCCATCCACGAGGTATTCGAGGTGAGCAGCTCCACCCAGAGGACAGGAGCGGCGGTGCACTCCAGCCCCCCCAGCAGCAGCGGTAACTGCCTGGCCCGACTCAAATCCACAGTGCTGAACGGTACACCCAGGAGCCTGGTTTAACCCAGGACACACGGACTTCTAAGAACACAGGGCCTTCACACTAGTGCGCTGAACGTGCGCTAACGTACACGTGAGATTACTGGAGCGTTTCTCTACTTCTACCTGCTGTTCCAGGATCTGAGAGACTCAACAGGACACTCATACAGGACAAACTACATTGCTGCTTTTTTATGATATTTTGATGTGTGTGTGTGTGAGAGAGAGAGAGAGAGAGTGAGTGAGATTGTGTGCAGATGCAGCATCAGCTGTTATAATGGGGGAAATGGGAAAACTTTAGCCAACAGAATGAGGCACAATGAAATAATTAAATAGTAAATATAGTCTTAAAACTCATTATGTATTAATGGTGGCCAAAAGTGCTGTCTAGGTAGGGTGCTCATTAAGTTTTGAGACACATTCCACCTTTTAGAAGTTTGAGGGTGAATTTTACAGCAACAAAAAAACATGTTCAAGTAACATTTCACAAACAAATCAAAATGAAAAAAAAGGGTAAATTATGCCTGTTTTTAGGAGCTTCAAAAATTTTTACATTGTGATAAAACACATTTTACCCAAATTCTCATTGCTGTAATAGGTCAGAAAATTTTACTTTTATTTAATTTTTATTTTTTGTAATTCCCATTATTCACATTTTTTCTAGGTTGTCATTACTTTAATGCAGTATTTTAATTGTATTACGGTAAAAAAAAATCGGTATTATTTAAATCAGTAGAAACGTTGTACGATAAATACCATGCAATACTTTACCATTCAAAATAATATATTTTTTCACTTTTTTTTTGTTTGTTTGTTTGTTTTTTTGCATTACAGTAATAAGAATTTGGGTGAAATGTACTTAATTTTATTTATTTTTTTTAAATTCTCACAATGTGAAATTTTAAAAAAAAAAATAGGCTTAATTTTCTTTAAGCAATATATTTCCTATTTCTTTCTTTTGATTTTGGGGTGAAATATGACCCGGACGTGTTAGATTCACCCATGAAACAGATCTTCACTCCCTTTTTTAGCAAAATTCCCAGGCCAAAGCGTCTTAAGATTCCAGTTGTTAATGCTGGCCTGTGCTGTGATTGTGTTGGCTGCCACTGTTATTTACTCCTGACCTAAAAAAGGGGGAAAATAAAGGGAGAAAAGGCTAAAGACATTTGTGAACTTCGTCATGTCTCTGTGAACTGCCTTACAGTGAAAAGAATCACATACAGAGACTTTTTTTCTTCAGGAATGTATGTTTTTTCCTGCCAAATTATCCCTCGTATCAGTTAGAAATGAATCTGGGAATAAGCATCAACCCAGACTAACAGTAAGTGTGTATTTAGCCATAAAATGCTTCTTGAAAATCCTGATATGCTGAGAACACAGAATAATGACACTCGAGATTGTTGAACAAGCGATTAAAGGTATTACGTTTTGTGAAGTCCCAGAGTCCAAAATAACCCTCTTTCCTTTTTTTTATTACATGATTCATTATTTTATTCATTCTCAAAAATTCCCCTTTCTTGAATGGATATAATGAGGGCTTGTGTGTGTCTGTACAAGTGTGTGTACAAGAGACTCACTGATAAGTGTGATTGTGCTGAAGTATAATTGTTAGTGATTGTTGTGTGCGTGTGTGTTTTCCTTTCTTTTTTCTAATAAAGTGTAAAAGAATAAGATTAATTTTTGTGATTGAACTATAAAGATTATTACTTGTAAGATATCAAGAAAATGAGAATTGTTTACTTATGGTATATTTTGTCTCAGAGCACGCTGATAAATTAAAGCTATATTCATTTGAGCCCTGGTCTCATTGGTTTGTACACTTGTGTGTGTGTGTAGCTCTTGTTTCACCTCTAGATGTCGCTGTCTGTCAGGATAAAGATTCAGCAAATTGAAGCGTGCAAGCAGGTACAACTAAACTAAATATAATTTTGAAGAAAAAGAACAGTATATAGATAATCTAATCAGAATTTAGAGCTAGAACTGTGTTTTTTAATAACTTATTTTTTAAATAAATTTATAATCTGTTAAAAGTCAACGTGTTAAATCGTATGAGGGTTTCTGCAGGTGCCTATCACAAATGTTAGGCCTTCAAAGTCTTAAATCAGAACAGAAAAAATCTTAATTTCATAAAGTTATGGCATAAAATTTTGCATGCATTGCAAAAAAAAAAAACATTCTCAGTCTTTTATTTGTTTTTGTTTTTTTCCAATACAAATATCTAAATATTCTTAAATCAAGATAGATTTACTTTAGATGCAAAATAAAATATGAAGTCTTGTTTTCTGTGGAACTGAACAATATAAAATGAGTTTAGGCTAAAAACAAGAACAAACATCTGTAAATATCAAACTTGTTGAATTAAGTTGATTCTTCTGAGCCCACTGGCAGATATTTGTTTTTGTTTTAATAATGTTCTTTTTAGCAACATCATATGACCCCTTTAAAACATTTTAATCAATTTCTCATAAAAATTCTTCTCTTGTGTCATTTTACTTTAAGTAAGTGTATCTGTGTTTGCACTGGATAACAAAACAAACATACTAATAACGTATATCACTTTTTGCAGCGTGAACAGGCTTTTAAGTTAAAGTAATGGGGATCTGTTCATACTTTGAATTGTTGCTAATACAAGACATTTACAAGTAGAGACCATATTAACGCATTGTTTCATTCAATTTATTCCTAAGATATCTTTACTTGGTTTTAAAAGGGTCTTAAATTGACCTTCATGAAACCTGCAAAAATCCTGTCAAATGTTGTCTCTGTGTCTAAGTGTTGCTTTAAGAGTGTGTGGGAGTTTTTCCATAAAATTTCCATGTTGGACATTGGCTGAAGAATCAGCTCAAAGCGGCTGAAGGTCTGGATGTTTGGCGTGTCAGATGTGGGCGGGCTGAGAGTGCAAATGTCTCGCCCAGTGGGAGGATCAGCTCCGTGTGATGTGCTTCATGGGAAAAACTGCAGTAACACCACAGACAGACTTTACACACTGTGCACAGGGCCAGATCAGCTGGACTCTTCAACACCACGGTAAGATCTCAACTACTTACTGTAGAATAGGAAAAGAGCAGAATTCTTCAGTTTTACAAGCTGAATAATAATATTATGTTTTTAATAACATCTATAGGGAATTGTTATTGTTTCCTTGTTATTGTTTCCTGATCTATTAGTTTCAGTGGAAACCCTGAGATATGTTTGGTGCATTTGATGTATTTACAGATGATCAAGTTCAATTTATTTATTTCATGTTCATTTTTTATGTAAATTTTATTTATTTAATCATTTAGTTACTTTTTTTTTTTCTTTTTTTTTTCTATATTTGAATTTTTTATTCATATTTTTTACTAAAACTTACGTATTCACTAGTCATTAATTTCTTATATATATGTATATATAATGGACTATATATATATATATATATATATATATATATTCTATGGACCTCTGGTTTGAAAAGCTTGTTAAAACAGCACTGATTTCATGCTGTTCACTTCCGCTACAGTACAGTAACTTTGGAACAGGCTCAAAGTAGTTCAGTTAACATTTTCTATAAAACAATGACAGTTTCACTGGACTGTGTGTGTGTGTGTGTGTGTGTGTGTGTATGTGTGTATGTATGGCACCCCAGGGGCTCGGCGACAAAGGCAGCATGACAAGTTATTTTTGTTCGGAATACAGGCAGTTCTCACACACACACCATATCTCTCTCTATTTCTCACCAGTATTAAGATGAAATTTGCCCACACTTCTATGTCCCTAGTGTCTTTTCTCATTCCCAGATTTCCTCTCCAGTACTTACAAACAGCACTGTGATACCAATCATACCATTGTACATTTAAATACACCATATTAAATGATCACCAAATTAAAGTACAGTGTACTTTCTATCCTAAAACAATCCTACACCCAGCTCTACACTGCTAAATGTGGACAATAAGAAATTATAAAGTTGCTTTAAAACAATGTGAAAAAAACTTGACTAAAATACCATTACGCTTACTATGGTATTCCCATCTGATATCATCAATGTACTACCACAGTACCTTTTTAAGAGTAATATGTCTTAAATTAATACTTATATGTAAATATAACTTGTTTTGCACCACTGATGACCTTGATATTCCCTTGAAAGAACAAAGAGTGAGGATCAGATCAGTTAATCAGCTTTAGTGTTTGAAAACATTGGTCTTTGAGATTCAATCCACCAAAATAGTGACTGCTCTGAAACTGTAGTTGACCTGAAGGGAATTGTGGCGCTCATTGCTGGTGCACATAAATTTGAGGGATGCAGTTTTGTGGACACTCGCTGTTTCTGAGTAAGATTCATGGAGCCACAGTTGTCGAACTGATGAATAGAAGAGCACTTTCCACTACGGGCAGGATTTATAGACCTTACCGTAACTTCAACCACTGGATCTGCATTGATTCATGAGGTTTTGGAAATTATTTTTCTGTCCCTCTCCTGAGTGTTAATAAATTAGTTGCACTGTCTTGCAGATGAATGCTACAAGAACTATCCAGGAACTCAGTGAAGGACTCTAGGAGTGAAAGACATTACAGGTCCTTATGAAGTCTTTTTGAAGGTTGTAATTTATTAGGCTCAAAGTATAAACTATAGCAAGCCTAATTTTTCTGTTTTTAGTTTTGGTAATTTGAAGGCATAGTCCACCCAAAATGAAAATTCTTGTATCATTTACTCACCCCCATATCATTCCAAACCTGTAGGACTAACTTTCTTCTGCAAGACATAATAGAAATATTTTGAAGAATACTGGTAACGAAACAGTTTTGATTCCCATTGACTTCCATTGTAGTTTTTTGTCCAATTAAAAGTCAGTGTTTTGTCATCCAACATTCTTCAAAATATCTTCTTCTAAGACTTAGTTTCTACTGCAGAACCCCCCAAAAAATAGACATTTTGAAAAATTCTGTTACCCAAACACTTTTGGTTCCCATTGACTTCCATTATATGGACCAAAATACAATGTAAGTCAATGGGAACCAAAACTGTATGGTTACCAACTTTCTTCAAAATATCTTCTTTTATGTTCTGCAGTAGAAAGTAAGTCTTAAAAGAAGATATTTTGAAGAATGTTGGTAACCGAACAGTTTTAGTTCCCACTGACTTATATGAACAAAAATATAATGGATGTCAATGGGAACCAAAATTGTTTGGTTATCAACATTCTTAAAAATATTTTAAGGTTTGGAACGACATGAGTAAATGATGAGAGGATTTAAATTTTTAGGAGGTCTATCTATTGAATGTTATACATATTTTAACAGACATAAACATATTTTAAGAATTAAGACTAAAACCCACACTTTTTTAAATTCTTATAATTTTCTATCTTTTCTTATTGGGTGCACAATCAAATATGCATAGACGTCTTCCATTGGGAATACTTTGGTATCCAAGGGGAAATAATTTTTTATTGGCACAGTCATTTGAAGGTTCAGAGTCCAGAGGTATGTTATCACCGCCACAGTAACTCATTAATTATTACTATGGGACCACATGATTGCAAACAACATTTGCGTAGAATATGTATTTGACCTTATTTTTGTACTGCTACCTACTGCAACGCTAACTTTGCCGCCTTTTTAAAGAGC